TCCCTCCCCCCATTTCCATTTCCATTTCTTTCCTGTTCTATTTCAAACTGTATTTGACTTGATGCACACATAAAACACAATGAATGTAAATGATAAAAAATATATGAGATATGTATCTCTTCTTTATTTCAGTTATAATGTTTGTTGGGGAAACTAATTATTATGCAAACAAAATTATGCAAATAAGATGTATTGTTATGTAAATTAGCCGCGATGCTTGGCTTAGAGTCTGGAGAGAACACTGCATACATCATACATGATAGTATACATATGCACGTCAATTTGTTTCACGATCTGATTCAAGATTGCCGAATGGCGGCCACTTTTGTGCTAAAAATCAAGCATTTCTCGGCTGTTTACAGATGGATTTTGTTCAAACTTGGTATATACATTAGACATTATGGGATCTTGCTGCAAATAATTTTGTTTTTTAGATAAGATTCAAAATGGCCGACTGGCAGCTATTTTGTTTTAATGAATGTGGTTCTCGTGCCATATCTTTGACTTGCTTTCACTGATTATGTTCAAATTTTAAATATTCATTATACATCATGTCATAGATAGACAGATATATTGGTTTGACGATCCTATTCAAAATGGCCAAATGGTGGCATTTATCAAAATGGCCAAATATCAAGCATTTATGGATGGATTTCGTTCAAACTTGGTACATATGTTAGACATTACAGGTTCCTGATGCACATCATTTATTTTTCAGATCGGATTCAAAATGGCTGTCTGGTGGCCATATATTCAAAATGGCTGATTCTGAATGCTGTTCCAAAGCAATATCTCTCAATATGGACAAGTACTTTTTTGACAATCAGATACAAATGTCAATCATTTTAATGTTAAAAAATCATATTCCTGACATGGTTATATTCCAGCTATATTACTATAAACAAAACTATATATCTTAAATTTTATAACTAACGGGGACTGTGCCATGCATGGCTTGTTTATATTTTTATTAACAATTGCATAAAAAAGAACATATGTCAAAAGTTAATCAAATATGGTGATCTGGTTTAACACAATCACTTGCTGAAAGCCCCCATGGATAGCCAAAATCATTGGGAAAAAGCAGTATCAGTAGGTGTTAATTGTAGGCAAATACAATAATTCAATATTCCAATTGTAAATTATAATAAAACTAGAATTCTACCTTGAATTAACGTAACAAAGCAAAGAGGGATGGTAGTAAAATACTAGTAAATAAGGTTTACATATAGATTCAATTATCTGAAATGTCAATTACGGTATTATTCAAAAAACATTTTAGTAGTGTTTATCGCCCCGATATCAAACTTTAACACAGTTTTGTACATTGATAACAGAAAAGCATGTCAGCATTTCACTTTTACAGCACATTTCACTGTTCGTTGACTTGTTATATTTTTCCGATTACATTGTACACATTATCTACTGGTGATAATTTGAGTGCAAATTTTTCTTTAATTTTCGGATTAATTATTTATGTGCCAAATTGTCATACTTTGCCATTGAATGAAAGTTAGGAAAAAATAGAGAAAACAAATATTTTTTGTTTTTGTTTTGTGAATAGGGCATTCAAAGTTAATCTTTTATTTTTAGAATTCTGTAGAATGAGCTGAACTTTTATTAATTGACCGTAACCGCAACATTTTTATCTGTAGCTGGAAACGCTAAAATGGGAACACTGGATGACATTGTACGACAGTAACTCGAAAGGACTAAGTTTAAATCGTTTACAACACCACGTATTTAACTACAAAGGACCCACAATAATGTTGGTGACCTGTACTGATGACAACTTCTTTGCGGTTGCTGTGGACCAGGAATGGCAGTGAGTAAACTAACTTTGTGTCAGAGTGTAAACTCAAGATAACATGATATGACACGCTACTGGTTCACAAAGATTTAGTTGTGCTATTTCTTTACCGTGTCATTGTACAATGTATTGTGCTTTTAGAAAACATATCACTATAATTATGAATTAAAGAAATTCACATTTTATAAAAAATCACTATAAAAACCAATAAAATTTGGGGCTGATTTTTTGTTTGTGCCTCAAGGTACCTATGCAGTCACGTACAATTTCAGTTTATTCTTTATGATTGACCTCCCTGGTAGTCAACAAGCTGCTTGATTTTTGGATTCCATTTTGAGTCAGGATCCCTACACAATCAGTTCCGTAAGAAGGCATACTGCAGGGAATTTTTGTTTGTGATCTTTCTGTTCGGGCATGTGTGTATGTGTGTTGACCATGTGTCAGTGCGATTTCCCAACCTTCTAGGGCTAATTTTTCTTAACGGCAAGTCACAATGGTACATATATATACTGCTACATGTACATTGTATACTAACATACTTGCATTTTTAAGTATTCCACTTTGGGTGAGTGGCTGGAATTTAGATTAAAAGTGTAATCATTAGTTTCTCAGATATACCTGTTTTGATTTCAGTAAAACTTGATATTAGTATCTCGCATGCTGATTTGTTTCGTGATTTGATTGAAAATGATTCTCTTGTGGACATTATATTTTTTCTGTGTCTGTGTGTCCTAATTTGTTGTCTGTCTCTGACTTTTTATAAATGTGAGATGAGAAATTGTAATATTTATAGCTATTTGAATTCAAACTATCTTACCCTCATGCAAGGAATTCATGTTGGAAAATTTGGTATTTGTGTTAAATATGTCATTGCACTGTGACGTCATCGTTTACGGGTGTGATTGACCGGTTCTTGCCAATCAATCAGTCACTGCGCACATATACACAAACAAAATCGCAGTGCATCGTATATCAAAATAATTTTGTGATTGCAGCACAATTAACTAAAAAATATACGAAGTAGTCAAATATACACTTCCAAGTTGAGCATGTTAGATAAATAAATATTTTATATACATGTATACTCCCAGTAAAAAAAAAGTTCATTTAAAATTACTGTGGGTTCTTGAGAAAGTAATGGCACCTCTATATCATGTATAATGTAATAAGGCAACAATATCCAACATCACATAGTGCTATACTGATAATAATGTTTGCGTTTATCAATGAACTTGAAATTCCTGTTCTTGTATCTGTCTGGTGTTTATCTTCATCAAGAATTCCTGAATTGGTTTATGTTAATTTGAATATTTCTTTTTCTACTGCGTACGTTGTCTGACCATGTACCCTGACTGAAAATAAACACTTTGGAACCTATGGAGGGAACAAAACAAAGTGTTAACAAATTTTGATCTAGACTGTAAATATTCCTCATGTCTAATTTGTTAGTACATGTATACTAAATCAGGCATTTCAGCAAATGCTGGACGCCTGAGGACTGTTACGTCACTCGGTTTTAATAATAGGCGGAGCATGGCTTGGTTCACTTCCTGAGGTCAACACAATAAAGGTCATAGATCCATGTGCCTTTTTTGCTGTTCTTTTGGGCTCTGAATCAGCAGATATTTTCAGAGTTTTAAACTGGAGAATTATTAGAAAACGTCAAAGCGTATTTATCATAACTGCAGTATCGCATATTTTGCCGGTCATCGTCAAAGTGAATAAATTACAATCAGGAAGGTTAAAACATGAACTTCTGTCATCCTGTCACTGTGATTGGCTGGTTGTTTTGTGATGTTGCATGACCTGTCAATCATTCTCTGTTCAGTACCAGTGGAAAACCATATAATGTCGCGTGAGGGTGTTTACAAGCGTTTACAGTTCTCCTGTCTTCGCTAAAATGCCTGCAGCATTTCTTGCAAACTCCTTTGGCCTCAGGCCTAACATATTAGGCTCGAGGACTGTCTACAGTCTAACTTTGATCCAGAAACAGGGATGTGTGTCTGAGTTGGTGTGTTTTGTGGTCTATTACCGTAGGTATTAAATTCACAGATTTGAACTCAATCTCAATTTATTGGTCCTTTTGATGTATAAAAGGATAGTTCATTTCCAGTGTCTATTAAATCCACATCTATCGGGGGTACATCGGGGGTACTACCGGTACTACCGAGGTATTTATAGTCATATAAGTGTATCTGGCCACTGTGGATCACTATTGTACCATACAGGTGTTTATGTTCCACATATTAATGGCACTTTATAATATTATTAAATTATACCAAGTACTGAATTAGAACACTATTCCACACCAGTTACTCTACACCACAGTCATATATGATGGCACGGCAGCAAAATCATTATTGAGATACTTAACTTGTTGTTGTGGCTCTCATTATTGTTAACTTACATGTACATATCTCTTGTTCTAACAAGGACATCCAGTAGTTATCATGTTGTTTAGCAGATATGGCTGGATACTTAATGATATCTTCCTTTGACAATACTCCGGGAACTTCAGCCATTTTGAAATGATCAACGACTAACTGCATAGAGAGATTTCAATCAAATTAAAAAAAATACCTTGACGAGCAATGAATGTTGGGAATGCCACATATATGTATGTTGATTATTACCTTACCAATGAATGGTTGGAATGCCACATATATGTATGCTGATTATTACCTTACCAATGAATGGTGGGAATGCCACATACATGTATGTTGATTATTACCTTACCAATGAATGGTTGGAATGCCACATATATGTATGCTGATTATTACCTTACCAATGAATGGTGGGAATGCCACATACATGTATGTTGATTATTACCTTACCAATGAATGGTTGGAATGCCACATATATGTATGTTGATTATTACCTTACCAATGAATGGTTGGAATGCCACATATATGTATGCTGATCATTACCTTACCAATGAATGGTGGGAATGCCACATACATGTATGTTGATTATTACCTTACCAATGTATGGTGGGAATGCCACATATATGTATGTTGATTATTACCTTACCAATGAATGGTGGTAATGTCACATA